TTTTTAATACTACTACTTCTGCTTGTATTGAAACAAAAAAATATGTATATATCTTTTTTGCTTACACAGAATTTTAGATTTTTATTAAGTTTATAAATGAAATTCTTTAGGATTTCGCTCTGTCGCTTCAGAGCGAAATCCTAAAGAATTCGCTCTGAAGCGACAATAAATAAAGTCAAAATTGTTAAAAAATTATTAATAAAATTTAAAAAATTCATTAATTTAAACATAATTATAGATCAAGAGAGTAAGAACTGTTATAAAATGTCTAATCCAAATTATTTCTTAAAAACATGTTTTTTTTCATTAATAATCATAATGTTCTCCACCTATTAAGTTAAAGTACTAAAAAAAAAGAAAAGGATAAACTGGTGTTTCTGTTCTTTTGCTTCTATTTCCTTCAAGGAATACAATTAAAAATTTATCAATGATGAATTTTCTAATGTTTTAATGCAACAGTTTAAATAATTATCGGGTGGACACGGAAAGATCTGGTCAACTTTAAATTGAGATTACTCTAAAACCATAAATGCTTTTTATTTGAATTTTTTTATTATTAAATGTGTTTACATAAATTAGAGTTTCAACTTAATTTTAAGGGGCTTGATGGGTTGCTTGGCAAGAAATTGAACTTTATAGCGGGTTGATGCCATCATTTTACAGATTTTTTCTTTTTTCACCATATTGGTGGCATTAATCCACTTTTTTTGGAAGTCTTTTTTATTATTTGTTAGTCCACCTGTCTTACGAAGAACTCCTTTAACTATTGCCCAAAAATCTTTAATCTTGCGCTCTTCAGGACGATTTGGAGGATTCGCATCTTTAGGAACAATTTTCACATTATAATCTTTGCACCACTGTAGAACTTTTTTAGAATAGTGAGAGACAGCAAGATCGGGCCAAATTGATGTAGAGATTGGCAGTCAAGGTCTTTTTAGTGACAAAACAAGAGGACTGCATACCATAGCTACAAATTGCTTGCCACACAAGAAACTTGGATGCAAATTTTTCTCGTCGAATATATTTAAATTGATCATCGACAGGTTTATCTTTGTTTTCATAGTAAAACTGTTGACCAGGAAGTTGTGAAAAATCCGCCTTGCAATACGTTTCGTCGTCTTCAATTATGCACATATTTTTATCCGCCATTATTTTAACCAACTTCTTTGCGCGTCGAATTCCTTTAATTTCACAATTTAAGCTTCTCTTAGATGTATTTTTTTTATGAAATGCTTTAATTCCAGCATTTTTCAGTACTTTTTTGATATAAGAACGAGAAGTCTTAAATTTTCTTGCTAGATCTCGCTGTGACTGATTTGGATTTCTTGCTACTAAACGTAAAATCGACTTTACCTTTTTGGATTTATGGAGAGTTTTTTTTCTTCCACTTCCAAGTTTTCTTTCGAAGCTTTGAGTAGTCTTGAACTTGTTTATAATATCTATGACCGTAGATTTTGGGACATTTGTGCGTTTAGCAAACAAGCGATAGGAAATCGATGGATTTTTGCAAAAAAAATTCACAACTTTTTTACGCACCTCAACTTGTTTCCAAATCATTTTGCAAATCATTAATTTGTAAACAAAAATTTATCAACACCATTTAAGAGAAGGAAGTAAGGTTTAATTAAAAAAAATTAAATAAAAAGCATTTGTGGTTTTAGAGAATTCTCAATTTAAAGATGACCGGATTTTTCCGTGTCCACCCGATACAACAGTAAGCAAAGTCCTAACTTAAAAATAGAATTCAAGAATTCGAGATTTCACAGATCTTGAAATTATAGCTAAAGTTAAGATTCTAAAATATACCGGAATTAGTGCCGTGGCTAAGGAGTCATTACCCCCCTTTCTTTACCAAAAATCTGTCATTTGTGGCCAGTCTTTATTTAAGTTTTAATATAAAGTTTGATTTGCAATTTTTGGCGTTCAAACAAATTTGATTGGACAAAATTTATTTTGGGTGATCTAAATATCATTTTTTCTAAAAGGAGACAACCTTTATTTTTGATTTATTTTTTAAATGTTAAACTCTTAACTCAAGTCAATATCATCATGTCAAAATCTGTAGCACAAAAACGCAAAGAAAAAACTACAGGCAGAGATGGAAGTTTTTGCAAAAAAGTGCAAATTAATCACATCATTTTTGTCAGTACAACCACAATGTTAAGGCAATAATGAGTCGAATTTACAAATTACATCAATAAAAATACAAGGTAGTAAAGATCTTGAGTTAAATTACATCAGCAATAACACAAGCACTTGAGTACATCAGCAATAATATAAGCACTAGGTAGTCGAGATCTTGAGTCAAATTTACAGTATACATCAACAATTATACAAGTGGAGATATTGAGTCAAATTAATAGAGTACATCAGTAATTATACAAGCAAAAGGTAGTAGAGATATTGAGACAAATTTGAAGAGTACATCAGCAATAATACAAGCTTGAGGTGGTGGAGATATTAAGTAGAATTCGCAGAGTACATCAGTAATAGTACCAGCACGAGGTGGTTGGAATCGAATATTGAGTCGAATTCGCAGAGTACATCAGCAATAAAACCAGCACGAGGTGGTTGGGATATTGAGTCGAACGCACATAGTACATCAGCATTTGAATATCCAACACGTTTGCAGTTAATATGTTTTTTTTAGCAAACATTCAATTCAACCACATGAACATTTGCCGTTTGATAGCAAGATTTACCATAGACAAACGAACATGAAGGATAGCATACCGAGAAATTGGTAGTCATTTAACCAAAGTTTCCTCTCAGCAGGTAAAAAGAAATTGTAAAATTTATTTTTCTATAATGCTGTTTCGACCATGTTCTTAACTACCCCGCGTTCACCATTACTCCACTCTCCCCTACACGTCAGAAGTTAAAAAAGTTCGGTTTACAGAGAGAATCTTATAGACGCGTCTAAAAAATCCATTCGATTTGTGAAGATTTTTGAATTATAGAGATTCGAATTAATGTATTACACAACTAATTATTATTTCTATAATTTTGAGGAAAGTATCAAATTAGTTGAATCTATTGAAGAAATTGACAAATTTATGAATCTGATGTCTAAAGCAAATACAATTAAAGTAGGATTTTTTACGATATAACTGCAGCTACAGGAACAGTTAAAGAAGAACCAAACAGCAGCTGGATAACTTATTTTTAGGTAAAAAAAAGTAGCTTATTTTTATCAGATTTACTAATGATTTTATAAAATACTTTTTACTCCACGAATTTTTTTTTATAATAAGAACTTTTCAATTACAAATATTAAAGTTTTTCCACAGATGCTTAAGTCAAACATGGTTATTATGCTTGCATTTCTACACATCGCTATCGTATTTTGTAACTTACAAAACACGACATTATTTTTGAATAGTTTTATGCTAGTTGTTAAGGATTGCTACTGAGTTCATAGTTTGTTGGTTCAAAATTAATGACATTTTGCCATAAACTCTTTAGATCAAACAGTATAATATTTAAAATATCTCTCACAGCTGGGTTCTTTCCATTCCCATTGTTTTTAAAGAACATCTTAGCAAGCCAAAGCAAATTCCATTAGTTCAAACTCTTGTTTGTCTATGAGTACTCTCTTATGAATACTCTTTTATAAACACTCTCTTAGTAGAATAGAGTAAGTTTTTTTTATCGATTTTTTCCGATATTGACATAGCGCTTCATATCCGATGTTGGACTGTTTCTCTGATAACTTTTTCTTTGGAATTGAAACTAATACTTATTTCAAATCTTTACAGGAAGCATTTTTTTTTAAAGTATGCACTTGAGGATTTTACTTTATTTTACGCATTCAAGACATTATAACACTATGAAATAACAAGCTTCACTTTAAAGTTGTATATAATTTTTTTTTATTAAATACTTAAAGTCAAACTTGAAAATGATTTTATGCAGAAAATTAAAGTTTTTTTGACGTAAAATAAGGCGCGTTGGAACAAGTTATCTTCTACCCGTGGAAGAACAGAAGCTCCCCAAGCTGTGCAACTGATTTAAAATATTAATATTTCCAATAACTACATGACTTATGCATAAAAAGATTTTATTTTAAATAAAATATTTTTAATACATAAGCAATGAAGTTAGTGTTTTTAATTATCTTGTGTTTTAATAATCTCGAGACATCAGATATCTGATGTCAGCAAAATATTTTTACAATTTTTAATTGATAGTTTAAAGCAACTTCAAAATATGTTTTGTAAAAAATACCTAACACATAAATACCTAACATACAATAAATGATTTGTGGCTTAACGACTTCTTTAACTGAAAAAAACAACAACAAAACTTCAATCTTAATTTTAGAGAGAAGCAAAAAAGAACTCCATAGCAACGTGTATATTTAAACATTATAAATCAAAAAAGAACTCCATAGCATCGTGTATATTTAAACATTATAAATCAAAGCATTCAGTAAGTTATATTTATTAGTAGTTTACTAGCAATGTGACTTTAGGAAATGGTTTCATGTATATGTGCATACTTTATAAAGACACTTGTCAGTTAGCGTATGTACGAGTTAAGTAAATATGCCGCGTAATGTAAGCGCACTGATTAATGGGTTTTGGTTATTTTCACTATTATAAATAGTTTAGTTTTGCATATTTCATAATTGGAGTTTTTTTTTTGGGTCAATAACAAGCAGTAAAAGAGTAAAACATCTTTTTTAAATAAGTGAAAGTTTGGTTTCATTATTGTTTTTTTTTTATTTTGAAGTTTATTTCACCAACATTATAAAATTAACTTGTAACCTTAAAAAGATACCTACCTTACCTCTTTTTAAAAGTTTTAACACGTTATCTTATTCTTATTAAGTTCAATAAGGAAAATATTTGATTGATGAACTGTGAATAGAAGACTAGAAGTTTGATTTACAAATAAAACATCAAAGTAAACTAATCTTTTTTGCACACATGATTGTTTTTAAATAAAAAGTTATGACCAAAATTGTGAGTAAATTTTTTTTTAAATTCATTACATACCATGACTGTACTCAATAGCGCATTACAATCATCCTCGAACTTAAACCTAAACATAAGTATCAAATAAATACAACATTTTAAAAAAAACTTTTAAATATTCAAGATTAAAAAAAGTGTGCTTGGTTTAGTTATTGGTTTTATCAAACATTCAAATTTTAATTAACGATAAAAGAAACAAATTGTAACTTTATTTAATTTTTCAATGAAACATAATGTAAACAAAACAGCTCCAACTTTCTATTATTTTAAATTTTTATTATATTCAAATTAAAAATCTATGTACATGTAATCTTAAGGAGATCAAGGTACTTAAACTCCATAATTTATTTCGTAGTTATTATAAATACTCAAAAATATGAAAAAAAGTTGTTAGACTTTGATTTTTCAGCAAAGTAAGAAAACTTTTAACATTCACAAACTGCCTTTTGCTGCCGCAATTTAAAGGAAAATCATATAAATTTTTTTATTATGGTGATTACTTATAATAAGATTCTCAAAAAAAACATTTTAATTTTAAACCATACGACTAATTGTTTTAATTCTGTGATAAGCCACTCTGTGTGAAGCTACTCTGTAAATATTTAAATTTCCAAATTAAAACTTTTACTTATATCCTGTTTTCAGCTTAACAAAAAGGTGTTTTTGTAGAAAATTTGCTATCGTGGAGAAAACGTGGGAATAAGCATCAATAAAAAAAAGAATGGTACACAATGATACCTCTTAAACAACAACTATAATTGGTTTATTGAGAACAATTGGTAAAATAGTAATAAAAGCGTAATGAATTAAATAGTAATATCAATTTAAAAACATCGCCCTTTAGATACGGTATACGAAGCAGCGGAGTCGTCAAACTCAAAAATATACAAACCACTACATAAACATTACTACCCTTCTTCCACTCTTTTACCAGCAAACTTAAAATACAAAAGTAAAAATCTTCATAACAAAAAAACAAACTATAGCGTTAATTGTTATTATACTAATGCTACATCTCTCGATAATAAAATGGCCGATTTAATTTCAATATCTAGAACGTTTGATTATCACGTTATTGCTATCTCTGAAACATGGTTTCGAAATGACTCAGTACCTAATATCGATGGGTATAGCCTATATCGTAAAGATCGTCTAGACGGACGTCGAGGTGGCGGTGTAGCTATCTACATTACAGACGTATTTAACTCTCATGAAGTTAACCAATTTTATACAAATCTTCTCGAACAAGTCTGGGTATCTGTAAAATTTAACAACAAACATATACTTATCGGTTGTATATACAGACCAAATGATGCCAGTTTAATAAAATATGTCGCTGAATCCTTCAAATTAGCTCATAGTTTAATTAAAAAGCCCTATGATGACTGTTTGATTGTCGGTGACTTTAACTTCCCGAATATAAAGTGGTCTAACGATGGTATTGAATCTTTTAACCCAAACAATCCTACCGAGTATGATTTCTGGAATATTTTCCAAAACAGCCTTTTTACTCAACATATCACATTTCCTACTTTCCAGACTGATTATGGTTCCTCAAATAATATGTTGGACTTGTTATTTACCTACAACAGTAATTCTATTTTAAACTTGTCTCCTAGTACTATACTAGGTAACACCACTAAGGGTCATTTTAGTATCACTTGGAGATTCTTAGTTTCAGAACTGTTTACCGAAAGTGAATCTCAATCGTTTAATTACAAAAAAGGTGATTACGATTCAATATCTAACTTTATTGCATCAATCGACTGGGAGTTTTTATTCCTGCATAAAACTGCAGATCAAATGTTCAATATACTAATTTCTAACTATCGCACTGCTTGCACATATTTTATTCCCAAGATTAATAAAACAAAAAAAAAGTATGATCTTTGGGTTACCCCACATATTAAAAACCTGATCCGAGAAAAAAAATCCGCTTGGCATATAAACTGCTCTACCAAATGGGAGAATAGTGAGCTTAAAATAAAATACAATCGCCTTAATCGTTCAGTAAAAACTGAAATATTTAAAGCAAAAAAAGCACATGAAAAAGAAATAATATCAAAATCCCAAAACAACCCAAAAATCGTTTACAAATATATCAACAAACAACTAAAAATTAAAGATAGAATTCGCTCTCTCAAAGATACTTCAGGCAGAATTATTGAAGCTCTTCCTGATATAGTTGATCTTCTGAACTCTCAATTTAAATCTATGTTTACACTTGAAAGCTCTGAAAATTTTCCCTTGCTAAATAAAAGTGGTATTCTTTCTGAATGCATTTATAATGAAAACTTGGATTTCTCTATCTCAGATATTATTCAGGAACTTGCCAATCTAAAGCCTTATAAATCCTTCGGATCTGACGGCTTGCATCCCTTAATACTCAAGATATGTGCCAAAAGCTTTGCAATTCCATTAACAAAAATCTTTCATAAATCCTTTAATTCTGGAGTAGTACCCACTCAATGGAAATTAGCAAATATTTGTCCGATCTATAAAAAAAAGGGAGATAAATTACTTGCTGAAAACTATAGACCTATTTCACTAACATCTGTTGCCTGTAAAATCTTTGAAAAACTTGTAAAGAAAAAAATTTTAAAGCACATTAACGATAATAAAATGCTCTCTGCAAATCAACATGGCTTCCTTTATCATAAATCATGCGTAACTAACCTAATAGAAACTTTTGATATCATTTCGTCCTCCATAGCATCTCACCAATTTATTGATGTAATCTATCTTGACTTTGCCAAAGCGTTTGACTCTGTACCTCACAACAGACTTTTGTTAAAATTAAGATCTTTCGGAATAAACGGCAAACTCCTACAATGGATTAAATCTTTTTTAGTGGGCAGAAAGCAACGCGTTACAATTAACAATACCAGCTCTGCATGGGTTGATGTTCTCAGTGGTGTTCCTCAAGGTTCTGTTCTCGGCCCGCTCCTCTTCATTCTCTACACAAATGATCTCGCAAAACTCACTGAAACTTCTGAGATATTTGCCGATGATACTAAACTTTTTTCTAAAACCTTATCGCAATCTAATTTTGTTGATCTGCAGGATCGTCTACGCTTGGTATACGAGTGGTCAAACACTTGGTTACTTAAGCTAAACACTTCAAAATGCTGCGTCATTCATTACGGTCGAAACAACCCCCATTACAATTACTTTCTTCAAAATAACCAAGGAATCAACCAATCTCTAAGAAGCTCTACTAAAGAACGTGATTTAGGAGTCATTTTTACATCTAACCTCAAGTGGAGCGCTCATATTCAAACAGTTGTCTCTAAGTCCTTACAAATTCTCGGTATGCTGAAAAAGACATTTACTTTCATTGATGAAAAAATGGCTCTCAAATTATATAAAGTATTTATAAGACCACATCTTGAATATGGAGTGTCCATTTGGGCTCCTTTTTTAAAAGCTGATATGGCTTTGGTTGAATCTGTTCAACGCAAAGCTACAAAATGGGCTTACAGCTTGAGGCATCTTCAATACTGCGAAAGGCTAAAAAGATTAAACCTACCATCACTTGAGTTTCGACGCCTTCGATGCGATTTAATCCAAATTTTTAAATTAATACATCGTTTTGATATAGTTAATGATAAATATCTACCAAAATATATTAACTCCGTGTCTCGTGGTCACCATTCTAAAATAAGGCGTGAGTATGTTCTAAACTGTCTTCCAAGATATAATCATTTGTATAATAGATCAGCAAAATACTGGAACAATCTACCAGAGCAAATAACTTTGTACTCCACTGTACTTTCTTTCAAAATTAGACTAGACTCCTGGTTGTGGAAAAAGTTTGGAACAAATATTTATAAAACTGGTTGTTTATAGTGGGGTGTTTCCCCTGCTCGCTGTATGTGTACATTCTATGTAAATTTACGGCTACAACTATAATAATAATAATAATAAATATGTTAAATATAAAAAAAAAAAATAAAGAAACTTTTTAATTTTTTTTAATTAAAAATTATTTTTTTACTTCAATTTTAAATGGCACGCATCAATAGATAGTTTAAAAAATAAATTGTTACTGATATATGAAGTAAATTAAGAAAGATAATTTTAATGTGTTTCATTTAAGTTAGTAAAAACTTAATGTGTTTCATTTAAGCGTCTTAAAAGATTAAAATGAAAGTTTCGAGATTTTTCTAGAAGTTCTCATAGAAATATCTACTTTGACTGAAATATCTACTCTGATCGAAATATCTACTCTGTTGAATTTAAAATACCAATAATTTTCAGTAAATTTAAGTACGTATAAAAAGTGGAGGTTTAACTCATTGTTATAAATCAAAGGCTCATCAAATACTAAAATTCTTATGCTGGTTATAACTTTTTAGCGTCTTTTTTTGAAATATTTTTTGAAATAAAAAACAAACTGACATTTAACCGACATTTTTGCTTTGCTAACTTCTTTCCGTGAGAAGTTTAAACTTTTCATTTTGGAATTGTTCATAAATTACGTAACGCAAAATTTCTCAATAAACAAAACAAAAAAGATCAAAAGTTTTCCCTCGCACAGTCTTAATTTAAATAAATAATGAAAATAGAAAATTAAGTTAAATGAAAATCGCTGCGTAAAAGAGCTTAATATATACTTATAAATACTTCAGCTCTTAAAATATTTTTTGCGTTGCGTAATTTATAAACGATCCCTTTTGACGGTCAAAACATTTTTTGTCTCACTACTTTCGTATTTTTTTACAAGATTAAATTTTTAGAGTAATCATTAAATAATTTTTTTTATATTATTATACAGAAGCTATAAATAGGTAATTGAATACATAAAATAATTTTTAGCAAAATAGTAAAGTATATTAACTACAATTCTTTTACATAATCAAGTTTTTTTTTAATTTAAATGGATGTATGAGACAGTTCTCATTTTGATGTATAATTAATTAAACTTATTTCCGCGTGAGGCAAGTGTTTTCTATTGTTTTGCTATTATTATTTATAACAATCCCAAAACAATGGGATATAAATTATAAAGGAGCGGAAACCGGATTTATCCAAATCCGAAACTAATTGTACAAACTACAGATTCTT